GTGTAAGTGATAACAGAACATAGATAAGTTAAGTGGCTCTTTCTGGATGTGATCTGCATAAAACACATATAAAATGGTTCACATCATTGCCTTCTTTTTGTTCAACAAGAATATTTTCTGCTCGAAATATGCCGTTTTAAAACATGATTTTTTGTTCCCTTTCAGAACAGTCCCGAGCAAATTTCTCAGTTCACCCTGAAATAAGCTTCAAATTCCAACTGCACCAAGTGCTGGCTCTCCTGCCTGCATAAATTCATCAGCTCCAGGGAAATCATTAGGAAGATACTCAGAAGAAAAGCTTATGTAAGTATTGAGCAGAGCACATGCCAGTAGATGGCAGTCCAGAATATGCAGCATCACTTCTGGACCTGGTAGCACTCAGCAAAAAATAGTCCCCTGTGCACTGCAGTTGAGATCTTCAGCACAGATCTTTAGAGTGTTTCTTAGAAAACAGACTGTAAAGGCTACTGTCTCACACCTTTGGCAGATGGGAAACCCTTTTGTCTTTTACTTTGCAACTGCTTGCAGAGACTATACCCTGTGCTGAAATAAAGTGAACTGCACTGCAGAAGGCTTCAGCAATGTTCAGTCCTTTGTTTGCTGTTTTTAAATTCAAAGTATTGGGGAGGTTGTGACAAAATCCTTGTGGTTAGTTTGTGCTTCGTAGGTCTGCACTCACAGGGGCATTCAATACAGTTACTCTATACCTAAACACTTTGGAAAATGTGAATTTCTATGGTATTGAAATAGGTGCTCACTTAAAAAAGTGGTCTGAAGTTCCTTAGTCGGTTGGGGCAGTACAGCCACTTGAAGGGCTAATCCACACCTCTGTGTCCTTTAGAACTGGTCCCTTGCTCTGCTTCTCTTCTGAGCCCACTGAGGAGGAGACTGTCCCTGGCCAGAAACTATATCAGCATATTTTGATGGTATTATGTTCCAGATTAAATAGCCAAAAGAATCACTTCAGACTACTGCCAGAGGAACAACATGACTTGCTGATGTGTGCCAGCCACAGGGATGTGATGTGGGCACTTTATGGCCCTCCTTGACACATGCCCAGATCTCTGTTTGTCCTACAAGAAGTCTAGACTACTGAGCTGGAGCCTTGGGTCCCATTATGTAGCCAAAAGAGATTTTGCACTGATTCATTGCCTTTCTCTGTCTTTCTTCACTTATTCTCACATCCTTGCCTGGGAGAGACATTAAAGCACAGGCCTCACACTGGATTTAAAATATTTCACAGTTGTAAAGAGGTTTCATTTTGGCTCTTTTTTTGGCTGCATTAGGGCCTGGCATAATTTAGTCCTAATTAAGTGGCATCTAGAAGCCATTTACTCATCAAACTGGGAAAACTCAAGGAAATCCCTGGATAACCTGCACCAGAACAAGCTGTACTTTGGGACTTTGCTTTTGTAAGGGGAGCTTTGAAAGATGCTGTATCTACAGAAGACCAAAATGTTTTTAAGGGACTGTGTATATTTATATCTGATTCTTCATATACTGCTGAATATTGGCAGGAATAGAAAGGTAAAACAAGCAGAGGACTGAACAAAAATAAGAAAATTTGTAAAGCAAATCTTTGAAGAAATTTTAAGAAACATTTTGTGCAAGGATAAGGTCCTTAATTACTTTTATTTCCCTTACAGCACATGCATTAACTGGAAGCACTGTGAAACTCAAGCTAGAAGGAGATGAAGTGACAGCACTGAAACAAACCCAGGACCTTCAAGGTATTTTCTCAGCCTTCAGTAAAAGCTGGCTGAGTTTCATCTTTTTGCTCGGAGGCAGCCCAGAACTGTGGGGTAACTACACATTCAGCAACTCAGAATGGTGCTGGACTGGAGTAGAAAACTCTGTTATCCATTACTGCTGAAGTATTAATTAACACTTTCAGGTTTGACAGACCATGATTCCCTGCTCTCCATCTGTCTCCAAGCTGTACTGTTACTGCTGCTGTCTCCATGTCTACCGTGAAATCGCTTAGACACACTGCTTTACAGAGAGATGGTAGGCTTCTTTTTTCTGATGAATTATTAACAAACTGCAATTTTTATGGTATTCCTTAGCTATTAATTTATACAATTCTGAAGTTGCATATTATCTTTTAAATTACATGACTCCTGCCAAGCATGGCTGTATGCTACTGAAGAGCCAGGCATCATGGGCCAAACTCTGCTGTCACCCACTCATGAATCCATGGAAGATGAATTACAGTGACATAAAGAGGCTGAGGATAACCGAGTGGCTGCTCCTACTGTACATAGATCCTGATACTCTTAGGATGTGGTACTGAAGTGGCGTGTGAAGAGGTACCTCTTTCTTACAAGAAAAGTTTCAAATTTATAATCTATGTAAGCATATCATTAGGGAAAAAAATCTTCATAAACTCTTCCTTTATAGTTACTTTTGGGCTGTTGCTTTTTAATGCACCAGCCTTTAGCTGGCACCAAAACCTATCAAGTCCAAGAAAAAATGAAGTAATTGAGTTCATGAGATCCTTGCGTGTCCATAAGCAGACTTAAGAATCAAGTTCTGTTGTCTGGTGTTTGTATCTTTGAAAATTTCCTGCAGTTTTTAAAGATGGATATAAAAGAATGCATCGTGATGCTGTCAGACTATTTAGCTAGCAATACAGCTCCATGAAAAACTGCTTAGAATTAAATAGGTCTGAATAGGTGAATTTCATATTTCTTATGAAGTCATGTTTTCAGGTAATGGATCTAAAGTACTGTCATTATTTGTTCAGGAGCATTATATCCATTTTCTATTTGTATAACTTGTTTCTCGTTTGTAGTAGCTTTGCTTTTGTGTAAGTGGTTCTGCAGGGTGATATGGAATGAAGTGCTAAGGGAAATTCTCCGTGCTTGCAACAAAGAATTGGCTACAGGCTTACACCAGCACATCTGAGAGCAGCCAGCTATCCATGTTATGCAATTGCTTCTCTCAAGTCCTAGGAGATACAAAATACAGGGGGCTGAAGTTGGTGGTGTTGCCTGCTCACCACAACAACAAACTAAAACAGCGCTTACATTCTTCTGCTTTATTTTCTTCATCATCTGTCTAGCACACTGTGGGGATTCCCAAACTCTAATGTTAACTACCAGCAGAAAGATTCTACTCTTATTTTCAAAAGGCAACTCCACTAACTTCAGTTATTCCTCCAAATTAGTTCTGGTGCAGAGAGGAGAAGAATTTCACCTCCTACTGTTGAGAATCATAGAACAGTTTTGATTGGAAGGGACCTCTAAAGATCAGCTAGTCCAAATCCCCTGCCATGGGCAGGGGCATCTTCAACTAGACTTACTTTTTCTTTAGCAAATCCATTATCTTGCATAAGTGTAGAAATGGGCACTAAACAAACAAAAAAACCTCTCAAGATGTCATGGAAGATCTCCAATTCCCATATAATTTTCCATTCAGTCAACATGGAATTGCAAAAATTGGTAAAGCATTAGTGCTTCATGCAGTCCTAAAGCTGAATGCAACACTGAATCATCACAAACAAGTAACTGAGAACATGAGAAAATTCTTCCTACCTACTTTAAAACATGAGCCAAGCAAATAAACAAAACCAGTAAAGATTCCTGATAATCTTGCTGGTAAAAAAGAGGCAGGAATCAGAAGTGTCAATTAGATGACAAACATGAGAAAAATGTGGACATATAACTCACTCGGCTAAGTGGTAACAGCAGCATGTTGAAGAAAAAGTAAGGTGAAAGCAAGAATTTCAGCATGTATCCATGGGTATCCATGTTGCCATGGCAACTACTCAGCGGAATAAAGTATTTTCTCCTTTCTTTGGGATTAAAAAAACAGAAGAGGAATGCTGTTCTGCAAATAGGCACTTTACCTTTTTTTAAAAAAATAAATCTATAACCATTTCCTAACATAGCAGGCATTGCTTTGTTATGCTTTGGAAAGACACTTAAAATTCTAAAAAGGACACCATGTTATCGATGTGCTATTCAAAGGTTTCTCTTGCCTTCTTTTTATTTTGAATGCTTGTTAAAAGCCCAAATTCCTTCACATTTCTGGATCCTCCTTTTTATTGTTTTTCAGTTTTTTATTTCCTCATGCTGTTTAGCGACAGAGCTTAGATAATCAGTGTTTTCTGCAGCAGATCTGTGGCTTTTTTCCAGTTCAAGCTAAAGCTATTTTTGTTCCCATTTGATTTTCTGGAGTCATATTCTGATCTCTTACTTTATGCTACTTGAAGGAATTGTATTGACTGTTATTCCACATTAAGAAATTGTTTAAATTTGGATTCAGGGCTAATAAAGAAATATCAGTTTGTGTTGCATCTTTACCCCAAACTCATTAACTGAAAATGGAAATCTGTTCGATCTCTTTCATTCTTTCTCTAGATATGACAGCAGAGCTATGCATAGAAGATATTAAAGGGTAATAATACCCTTTGAAGGTAAAGTTATCATAGGATTATTTTGGAAACTTTGATAAAAGTGCAACATTTGCAGAAGTGGATGAAAGATATAAGTGAAAAGCATTTTCAGAAATGACTTGGAAAACTTCAGCAAAGGACTTAGGTGCTCTTACATATATACACTGACACTGAATGTGTCTTAAACATAGCACACTTTTTATTATTGTACCTATTAAAGTTATACAAAAATATCTCTTAAAGGAACTTGTTTCATAAAAAAAAAATCTTTATTTTCAGGATATATTAGTGGGAACTGCTCTTAAATGAGAAGCTATAAAACTGACTGTTTCTTAAATATATTAATTGCTACTCATAAATTTTCTGGGTACTTATTACCAGGATAGAACAATTTTAATAATCTGGATATGATTAATAAAACCTTTGAAATAAAAATGAGCTAAACACAACTATCTGACACCTCCAGGTCTTTTAGAAAATTCTGCTGCCAACTTACTGATTCCTTTGTACTACCTGCCTCCTCCTACCTTGGCTGTCTCATACAATATACTGTATTGATAGCTCCACTTGGCACATCTAACCCATGCAATTCTGGTTTCATCTAATCCACTTTAACACTTGTACCATTTTCACATAACCCTTTGTTCAGTTCAATGGAGAACAGCACCAGCTCCACTTCTTTCTGATAATACAATTTAATTAAGTTAGTAGAGTTCATCCAGATTCAAACTCTTAGAAATGAACAGAATCTTAGAAAATGCAATGAAAATAGATGTTTGTAATTGCACCAGTTTTATGGCTGGGCCCACACTGGTAAGTTAAATATGTCCAGAAAATTTCCCAGGCAGTGAGCCCAAATGATGCATAACAACCCATGTATATGTAAATAAAATCACTTAGTCTTCCAAACAGGGTGTCTGTATGCAAACATTCTCCTGGGAATGGCCCCTGAAAAGTACCTGTTTGGGGGAGAAAAATGTATACCAGAAAATAGCTTTGAATAGTTCTGTTACGGTATCTGTTAATGCTTGAATTTAGAGGTATATACACAGCCTGTATTATTCAGAGGGCACAAATCAAGACTAAATACAGCACAGTCAGTCTAGTAAACCTGCTGCTTTGTAATGCCAGAATATCCCAGAGCTGCTTGAACTTGTATCCCTTTCACTTTCCGTTAAATCACTAAAACTGCCCAACCTTCATTTGGGCTGTTGCTACAGAAATAAATAGAACAACGATAGATTTAGACCAACATAATGATAGACTTCAGTGCCAGAAGCGACTGTTGCTATTGTCATGATGGAGTGTGTCTATCGAAGCTAATAGACCTTTGTCACTGTATTTTAGGCAATGTGGCAGTAATGAGCAAGAGACAAAAAAAAGTCTAGAAGATTTCAGTGTTAGAACAGCACACTATAGTTCAGCTATATAAGGCCTTATCACTTATGTACGTATGTAATTTCACCTTGATTTACAGGCTATTTCTGGATTATTTCTTGTATTTATTTGAACTACTGATGTGAATTACACAGCTGGTTATTTTGTGCTCTAAAGATTTACTTCACTTGTTTGTTTAAAGTTGAAAGCAGATCTATTTAATTTGATAGTTTTTAACTCTTGAATGGAGGAATGCACTGGGAGAGCAGTAAAGTGCCTGAGAACCCTTTGCTTCTATTTCCATCATTCAGTCATCCATTTGTGACTGAATTGTAAGTTTTGCACTGATTGTGTGCTAGGACTGTATGTGCATAAATCTTGCTTTTTCTGCCCTGACTTCTGCACCAGACCCAAGCCTGATTAGTCTGCTAAAGACCAGGTTTGGACACAAAGGCATAACTTTCCTCCTTCCACATTACCTTTATGTTCTTAATTAAGCAGTCTAAATCCTACAGTCAGAAAGAAAATAGGCAAAGAGACAAATGAACAGCTCTAAATGAAGATTAGGTTTGCTCTCTGGTACTACTTACTTTCTCTCCAGGAACATCCAAGGGAATGCAGCATGGCTAAGTCACCTAAGTGCCTAAGGTCCAGTGGGATAATTCCCTTCCCTTTCCCCTTCCCATTCCCTTTCCCCTTCCCTTTCCCTTACCTGCCATGAGGAGAAAATTGATGCTGGGCTGAGTAAATTAGGGTTGGTGGGATGTCTGCCACCCATGTATTCATCAGTGCAGACCTCACAGTCCTCTTCATCTCGCCAGTCCCAGTAGGGGATGGTGAAGTTCTCATCACCTGTTATTGTCTGGATCTGACGTTCCCACATCAGCAGAAAAGCCCGATGCCAAGGCAGAAAACCAGGGGCTTCATGGGCAAAATCAATGTCCCGCCACACATTAGACCCACCTAAGAGTGTGTCTCGAGAAGCATAATAATGCATCCACACAAAAAGATCATACACGTTGATGTCTCTGAACATGGGGTTGGAGCCATTGTTCATCTGAGTATATGTGCCAGTAGCAATAACATAGTCCTGGCTAGGGATATTCTTTGCCAAGTTAAGGTAGGCAAGAAACTTGTTCTTCTCACTGGTGGTGAGCTGGAAGATGTTTCTTCTTGTTCTCAGTTGCCTTTCAGTGCAGTTGAGCCCTGAGAAACCAAACTTGCACTCTCCACAGTTGAATCCCATGAAGTTGCCTTCGCATCTACATGTCCGGTTGTAAAATACAGAGGGCCAGTCCTCTCTGTCATCCACTCCTGAAAAAGGGAACTGTGGTCCCAGCGGAGCCTGAGAGAGAAGGATGTTCTGGCAGGACCCTCTGCTAGAAAGCTCCCCACAAGGGGACCCGTCTCCGTCCCAGGGGGGACAGCACTCCTTGCTCTGCAAACTCCGCGTGTTTGCACAGACTCTGGGGAACTGCCCCGTGGATGGCTGAAGGATAACTAGCAGAAAACCCATGGAAAACAGCAACATACTGACAGAGCAGCAGGGGAGCACCAGTGTTATGCTTCAGTGCATGGAGTGCTCTCTCTGAGCCCTCCAAGGTCCTGGGTGTGCAAGAAATTCCTCCCCTCCACCAGGAATGCTTCACTGCTGACTTCTGCTCCAATATCCTACCCCATTCCTACCCGAGATGCATTTACACACAAAATACACTTCAGGGTTAATCTGATTATCACATGTTCTAGGCGAAAGCCAAGTGACTCTTTTCCTCCACCCCCTACAAGTTTCAAAACACAGGCATTTATTATAAACTTTCATCTTCTGCCTAGCACATGATTTCTTTCCTCTAGCAATTGGAAAGGAAGTAAAATTAAAATTTGGACACAGAAAAACTATGAGTTCTTCAAATTCCCTGCTTGATTTTATGCCTTAGAGTAAATGATTAATTTAAAAAAAGACCCAGAGGAACCTGATCATTTAAATAAGAACAGTGAACCTAAAAGTGAGAATATAAAGAATTTCAGAGTGAAATATTTTTTAACAGGAAGCAAACATAAAATGCGGTCACATTAAGTGTGTACATAGGGCAGAACCAGAATAAATGGTTTGTCTTGGCACTTTTCTATTTCAGTGTAAGATGCCTTTCCCAGGTCAACATATGAAAAAGGGAAATGAGAGAAGAGTTAAACTTTTCATAAGAAAAGAATTGTTTGGTCTCCTAGAATTGATGGCACTTTTACAGTTAATGAGACAGAAATCTGCACACAAGCCTTCTCCACAGTTTTGTGGGAAATACAGCCAACCTGGCAATAGATTTTTAGAAAGTACTTTAAGCAGTTGTCTCTGGACATGGAAAAAAAAGCCTTGACTCCTGTTTTTCTCACATCAAGTAGTTTGCAAACACCATATCTGTGTTCTTTACTCAATATGTTACTGTGCAACCTCCAGACCACCCACCTCTTTCTTCTTGTACATTAGCCTGAGCAGAGCTAATGTAATGCATGGGTGGACTTAGAAATTAGGCATTCTTTGAAGTTGCCCCTTGAAGCAACAGGACAGCAGTTGTTTTACTGCACAGCAAATTGCACATGAATTATCCATTATTTTCTTCAGCTACCACTGTTGTTATTAAGAGTGGTTTTCTAGGGTTTGTTTTCCACTAAAAGCTTTTTGAATTTTATCCTTGTGCTTAGGTAGAATCTCAGGAGGGCAGGGACAACATATAGGCAAATGAAGTGAGAACTTTGCTGGGAAACAATGCTTTTGCTGGGATCAGCAGGTCATCACATGACTGTGCTGAGGAGCACGAGGTGCTTTAATCCTGTTGGCTTCTATGCCTCAGGTATTCCAGGAGATTATCTCTGAGTCTTGCTGCCAGGGAGCCTGTGATGGGGGAGCCTGGAGCAAGAAAGGCAAAGGGAAAGGATTTGCTTTCTCAAAAAAAGTTTCTAACCATAGGCTGATTCTTACTATTGTTTGGCTGATTCTCCTGGTTTCCGCGTTAGGTTTGTAAAGCAGATTCTGTCATAGAAATGTTCCTTGTTTGATTTATTTCATTTCCTCTGTGCCTGTGTCTTTGGGAAACCTCATCATTTCTTTTGCTATTCCTCCCATGGTTGCTAGTGTTAAAATACAATACATGAGAAGAGACCCATCCCGGAGAATAACAATGTGTATTTTCTAAATTTCACTGAAAAGCTGCAGGAATTGGGAAAGGCCTGAGATAGAGCTTCAGAATGAACCAGAAAATACCTCAAATATATATTTAGGCAGACCATCATACACACAAACACGTTCAATACCCTGTTTTTATATTCAAATGACATTTTACGCTCAATGTTGAAAAATAAGAATCCAAGCCTTGGCAGTTGTCATATGATGAGTTTCTGAGGCAGCTGGTTAACAGATAAATTCCCTCTGAAATGTTATGAATGAGAAGCTCTGAATGAGGAATGTGACTGAGGAGCAGCACACAAGCCTCTTGACCTACTATTGAGCAGAGTCCTGTTTTGAATAACTGTCAGTGATTCAGATAGTAGTTAGGAAACCAGTCTTTCCATATCCACAGCTATAAGCATTAAGCAAGTAAGAAAATATATGTTTCTATTTCTATGTATGTAGAATCACTGAAACATGAGACAGCCACACATTACATGCTACATGTGGCCAAATTCCCCTTCATTAAAAACACCTCATGGTAATTTTCATCTCTGTTGTCCTTCAACCCAGCACTCTTTATTTCATTGTTCATCTAACAAAGCTGTCATATCTGCATGAAGTTTGTGCCTAAGTTGAATTTAGTCTCTAAGACTGAGAACTCTTTTCCTTGCATTCTGCCATTTGGTTGACAACATCTTGTCATATTCTTTGAGAGATCTGTTTCTCATACCTGGGCACCCTCATTTGGGTATGGGTCAAGACTTATTCATTTAAGGTACACAAATGCTAAGTAGACCATAAGATCAGCATGGCTAAGGCACACCACTTTCTGCCTCCAACAACATAGAAGACAGGGGTTTGGTGGCCATATGCAACTTTATTTGATCCCGAAGCATAAATGACCAGGAATCACTTCACAGTAGGGTCTCCTAGAGGCAACTTTCAACAACAAACTAGCATGGGGTTCTGCCTCATGTCCTTAAATCTTAACTCCACCCTAAACTTTGTGGCTGGATCATTTAAGGTATTGGTTTCAGACTAGTAGAGTAACACAGTAAGGACAATATTTAAAATCTAAATTTTGTTTTCATTACAAGGCTCTTAAATGCTTTATAGAGAAGTCAACAGTCATTAGAAGGAAAGTTCCTAGACACGGAGCAGTGAGAAGTCTTCCTGAAGCTCACCTGCTGGCTTCCTTATGGCATTAGGATCAGATTTTTAGCACTGTGCTGCAATGCTAAACCAAACTTCACACAGACATGGCCTATGGCTTTCTGATGTGGTGATGGACAAAGAAAAGGAACATTCCAACTTAAAAAACAATGGCATCAAATGGGGTTTCACATTACCTTGTAAAATTAACTTTTGCCCTCTTCAGATATGACTGGGCTGATCTTCAAAAATTATGTCTTCCTTTTGAAAAACATCACAGAAAATTTCCATTCTGGGCTGCTGATACTGAAGCAATCAAAGTTTCAAGTGGTATTAGTGGGTTTTATAAAATTCTCATAGCTGCATGAAGAAAATATCTCTCAATATTGCTTGCTAATACATTTTAGGAGTTTTATGTGGATTTTAGGTCTAGTTGTCTATGCTGAGTGAAGGGAAAAAGAAATTTGGGATGGCAAAATGGAGAAGAATTTTTAATTGTGATTATTTCAAAAGTCAAACATAAAACTGTGAAGAAACAAGGGCTGAATAGAAAAAGTTGGTGCTGCTCAGTAAACAGTGGAAACAAGAACTATCAAAGGAAAAAGAGACAAAAAGTAAGCTTATTTGAGATGGATAAATACAAGGACTATTTGACAATTAGAGAACACTGACAAATGGAAGGAAAGATAGTCTATTAACCAGCCAGGAAATTCAGTCTCACAAACCAGTAGGCTCAGATTGTACTCTCTGGTCCTTATCTGCTACTTGCTGTTCAGCATGGGTATCCTTATGCACTTCATAAGACACCTAGTTTCAGATGTTTTCTAAGCTCCTGCTGAGCTCGCATTTTATATAGCAGAATGACAATACATCATTTATTTCCCTTGCCCCATGTTCCAGATGGAGCTATCAGACTTCTCAGTGGTTTGCCATGAAGCCAAATCTGGATCCTGAACCCCAGGAGAAAGAAAACAGGGGTGGATGTAGAATGCAGACATATGTCTAAGATAATACACTGTGGTCAAAACCAGAATAAAATATTTGTTGATAAACTGATGATCGCTGATAAATGGGGAGTGTAAACTTAAGAAGAGTCCTGCTTAAGAAACATTTAAACTTTACACAAGGAAGGGAAAAATGTTTGGTATCTATTTATAATCAACTTTTTATCCTAGGTGGAAAAAACCCAACATTCTGATGAGGAAGTGAGAATTTCTCTAAGTTCACTCGTACTAGTCAAAGCTTTTTACTAAGAAGCAAACTAGAAATTCCCATAAGCTTTTTAGCCCAAGGTAAAGATTTCCACACCTTTGGGCATAATATTTGAGGATAAGGCTTAAAGACTCATTTGGATGTATGAAAGGAGAACAACCCCAGGTTCAAAAATTATTCTGGATGCTGTAACTAGCCAACCTTTAACTCAGGACCAGAACACTTAATATGCAGTCCACACAGCTGATGGTCTAGTAGATGTAAGCATGGACATATTCAGCTATAAATGGGATCTTGGGCCTCTAATCTGAAATTAAGTACAAGGTTCAATTAAGCTTTGCTTGTGCAGCAATTCAAAGCACTCCTGTCACCCCATCCAGCCTTATGCCTGAAGTCTTGCAGGAAGAATTCATATATGTAGATGCTTTCCCAGGCTAAAGTTGTGTTATCATGGCTACAAAGAGCAATTTTTACCTTAGCAGATCAACCCCCTTCTTGATCCTAAAGTAACCTGGTCTGTGCACAGATTCCCAGTCTCGGTGTTGTCAGAGAACAGAAGACCAGTGTTACTGTTTTATGGGGTTTACAGTTTATAATTTTTGTTCTTGCAAAAATATAAAAGCGTGAACAGCTTATATTTGATTGCTCACAAAGCCTGCTGGCACGAAGTTAAACTGTCCATGTAACAACATTGAAACAGTAAATTTTACTAGATCAGTGTTTTTATTATGTTGTCATGTTATTTTTGATCTAATATTAGGAGACCTGGAGACAGACATAGTGCACCAGAAAATAGATCTGAAAACATAGGCAACTTCTGGGAGCAAGAAATAAGGTCATTGATCTGCAGTACAAAGCAGGGAAGAAGAGGTGCTGATGCAATGAGGGCAATGAAAGTATAGAATCAACAGCAAGAGACAAAAGGCAGTTTTTCCCTGTTAGAGACTGAAGACAGTATGAAAGTAGTTACTAATGTCTCAATCTACGGTCTACATGATTTGGGCTTTTGCTGTAGACAACACAAAATTTACCTGATACCTGTCAGTCTTAATGACAGGAAAGCATCTAAGGGGGAAGCTGAAGCAGTATTTTCTACAGT